CTGCCTCCGGGCAAACTGCCATCCAGGAGATCAGAGCGGCGGATCCAGAAGCTCGAGTGGAGCATGACCAGCGATGATGATACGGGCTGCACGCGAGCACCGCATGCAAAAGACAGGCACGCCAATCACGTGATTGGCGTGCCTGTCTTTTGCATGGGCGTAATTGCGTGATTGCGTGCGTATTTCCGGGACGTGATATCACGTGATTGCGTGCGTATTTCTGGGACGTGATATCACGTCCTGGAAATCCGCATCTCCTACGCAATCGACTATTTCAGATTTATTGTTTACGTCTGCTCGCCTCCGCAGACTGCCGACGCATTCCTGGCTGAGCTGACCATCTCGAGTATCGTGTCGACGAGTTATTGATCCACTGTCCGAGCTGCCATGCTGAATTGTCAATAGGATGGCATCTGCTGGTACTTCGACTCGAGCTCGGGCACGCGTAGGGAGCATACTTGTTCTGATCTTGCGCGCACGCGTGCGTTCAGGCTGCAAGTGCCTTGTGCCCGTGGTCGCAGGGAGGGTGGGAAGCGGGAGGAGGGGCAGACATGGAGTACGGTGCGTGGATTAGTTGCGCGCCTTGTCCCTGTCGAACATCGACGCGCTCAGCCGCCCAATCAGCCGGCGTTGGCCTCATGTTTCGAGAGGAGCTTTTCCCCGACACGTAGATCTGGCCGTCCCCCTGCGCCAAATCCACAGATCCGTAACCCAGGGAGGAGGAGGGAGAAGGAAGGAGGAGGAGAGGAAGGGAAGAAGAGGGAGAAGAGGGAGGAAGCAGGAAGAAGGAAGGACGAGGGAGGGGGAGGGATGGAAGGAGGAGGAGGAGAGGGAGGGGAGGAGAGGGAAGCATGGAGGGAGGGAGAACAAGGACGCTGTTCCTCTTTCCTCCCGCCTCTCGGCCTTCTCTCTCTTCTCCTGGGAGTCTCCTGGGCCCCTGGCCCGTCAGGTTTGTTTGCCACTTTCTGTTCTTTCGCGTGGACTCGTACACGTTGGCGTACACGCCAGTCGTTAAAAGTTTGTAGTTTTGGATTCCCAGATCCCAATCTACTTCAAGCGCCTTCCTAATTACTTCAAGACTCGTTCTGCTTCTTCTGTGTTTGTTATTCTCGGGGATGGCCTGAACCCCATCTACTTGATCCGCCTTCCTACTTCATGTTTGTGCCTACCTCTTCCGACCGATGTGTACAACCGTGCAGCACGGGATGGAAGAGCACGTTCAGCCAAAACGCCGAAAGAGAATGGCCACGTCTGGCTCGGGAGGGGCTCCAGTTTCCAGGCCGAGCCTCGGATCTATAGGCTGGGGGACCTGTTTTGGAAGCCGAGACGCGCCGTGTCCAGAAAAAGCCCCGTCGGTCCGTCTTCAGTCGCCGAAGAACAAACGCCATACACATAAGCTTTTGGCGCTCCGCGCGGATTTCTTGGATCTGCGCTGGGCCCCCCCGGCGGCGCCTCAGGAGCCGCCCTTGGCGCGTTCTGCGCGCCAGGGAGGGGGGCCCCGCGTTGCTTATGGCGTTTTTTCTTCTTCCATTCAGTTCTTCATGGTAGCACGATGATTGTCGACGGAGGGATGGATGGAACGTAAGGAGGACGGGAGGGAAAGAGATGACCGATAGAGGGAAGGATGCAGGGAGCATGGAGGAATGGGAGGAGGAGGAGGAGGAGGAGGAGACAAAAGACTGACTGGCTTGCCCAGCCAAGCTGCCTCTTCGGACATCCCATGATGTGCAGCGTTCTCTGGGGAGGAGACAGGTTTCACGGGGGAGGGGGGGGGAGGGAGGTATCAATGGGGTTCTCTGGCGTTCTACCATGTTTGCGTGGGATTCTAGGGGGGGGGTTCTCTAGGGAGGAGATGGCGGAAGGGGAAGGAACGTGAGGAGGGGTCAGGCAGGCAGCGTCGGGGCACGAAGGATCCGAGTTACAGCCCTCTCAGAGCGTCCCAGAGAGCTCTGGACGTGGCCGCGGCGCCCCCACCGCGAAGCCACGCATCCGGCAGGACGCGCAGGCAGAAGAGAGCACGGCTGGCAGAGCTTCGCAGGAGAGGCCATCATGTGCACGAGAGGCGCTGCCGGAATGTCTCGCGCGATCACGCCAGGCCGCGGCGCCCCGCAAGTCCTGCGGGCTCGCCCGCTCGCTTGCGCCCGGTCGGTTCGTGTCCATCTCCTCGTCCTTGAGGGGACAGGAGGGGATCAGGGGCAACCATAGGGGGGGGGATAGGCACAGGGGGGATGCATCGACCCCCAGTCGCCCATTGATCGCCGATAGGGGCCCGATGGCCCCAACCTGCCCAGGAAGGTGCGGATTCACCACAGTGGGGCCCATGGCAAGAAACACCCTGTTTGCCTCCAGGGTGTTCTAGGTTTTTGGGATCAGCAAAAATCAGAGGACGCCCTGGGGCCTCGGGGTTGGTTTCTTGCGGACGGTTTCTTATGGACTGGCCCCTACTGCATCGCCGATCTATCGGCGATGCATCGCCTATTCCAGGTCGATGCATCCTCCCCCATACCATTCCCCGCCTATCGGCAGGAGGCGAAACAACTCACAGACACAATCAGTCGTCGATCCCCATGAAAGCACCGGAAACTATTGGGACATGGGGAAGACGAACACCGAGAAGATACAAGAACATACAGGGAATCTCTTGCTTCTGCCTTTTTGTTCGCATCCGTGCGTTTTCGCGCACAGGGCGTCAAAGGCTGTGCATGCTGTGCTTGTCTCGATCAGAGCGTTCTCAATACCTCAACGCATGTTCTCCCGCTGCAGCGATGGCTACATCTTAGAAGTGGTGCCCTGCTCTCGTTGTTCAGAATGCCGCTTTCGCTCCAGCGCGAGCTGCACTTTTGGATCCTATCCGTTCCTCGTCGTTGCCGTTATCATTGTGTCTTTCCTTCGTCTTCCTTTGGCCCTTCTGCTTCTCCTACTCCTGCTGCTCCTCTTCCGTCCTGATCATCATCCTCGTCCGCCTGCTGTTTATCCGCCTCCTGCTCCTCTTCCTCCTCCTTCTCTGTCCAAACAGCCCCACTTCCCGAGTACGTAGCAACTGAGTGATCAGATTCTGCAATGGCCGTTTCGGCATCAAGGTCCCCGAGGCCACCCTACTCCAGGGTTCAACGCAGTGGGAAGGGACGTCAGATGCAGTTGCAAGTCCCCTCTCCTCGCAGCCACTGGCCTCATGTGCAGAGTTAAAGGTGGAGGGGGAGGGGTGACGGAGAGGGAGGGTCGGTAGCAAGTGATGGGAGCCTTGTGTACCCTCGTAATTCAGCTTTTAGAGTGCACTAGCGTCGAATAGCGTTTGGTGATCGATGAGATACCACCGATTGAGCGTCGATCAGCGGCGATGTAGCGTCGATGGGCGTCGATTCGCGTCTACCCGCAAGAGCCAACAAAGTTGGTACGGGAGGCTCCCACGAGTTGCCACCGAAGGGAGGCAGCGCGGAGGGAGGGAGTCTCAGAGGCCGCCGGGCGACCCCAGAGATCTCCGGAGGTCCCTGCGGAGGTCCTCCGATCTGCTGCTCGAGAGGGTGACCCTTCGCCGGAGTGACCTCCAGTGCGGGCCCACGTCGGTCTCCTCGGCGTGGCCCGTGCGCTCTGGATCTGGCCTCTCCTCGGCTCGCGGAACCCCCGCGCACCAAAGACCACTCCAGCCTCGGGTCACTCTTGCTTGTCCCTCCTCCCTCCTCCCTCACCCCTCCTCCCTCCTGCGGCCCCCAGGGTTCCACAAGGGATCAACCGTGCTCCAAACATTTGATCCTCAGCCCTCCATCCGTCGGGAGGGGACGAAGAGGAGGAGGAGGTTTCCTCGAGGACCCTCCTCGAACCCTCCTTTTCGAACCCTCCTCGAACCCTCCTCCTCGAACCTCGAGTCGGCACCACCCAGACATGCTCATGCTGTGTGCGTCGCCCCCCGCAGGTACGACTCGCACGCTCAGACATCATCTTGAGGTGGCAGCGCGGTGGCGGGCGCTTTCCGGCCAGACCGCTGGACGATGCCCACTAAGATGTTTCCGCTGTGTGTGTTCGGTTCGGACGAGCGTGCCACACAGAGGTGCACAGTGCCAGCCTGCTACTACTACTACTACTACTACTACTACTACTACTACTACTACTACTACTACTACTACTAATACTACTATTACTACTACTACTACTACTACTACTACTACTACTACTACTACTACTACTACTACTACTACTACTACTACTACTACTACTACTACTACTTCTACGGCGACTACTACTGCCAGCATGTCCTTCTACGTCCCATCGGGTTATGAGGACGTTCATGGGAGCCTTCGTGACACGTCATCCCTGTCCTTTTCCACAGAGTCCGTACCCTTCCAGTCCCACTTCTGCGCCGCTTTCGTGCCCCATGTGGCCGTTCCGCTGCGATTGGCGCTGTGCCGCTGTGCCCATGGCGGCGCACGTCGCGCGTGGGCCATCAGCTGCACCAGGTTTGGCACGGAAGTGGAACGAACATGGAACGAAAGCGAACGCCCAAGCGCAGCGCGAAGTCTCCCATGAACGGCTGTACAACATCGATTGACGACGACGACGAAGAAGAACAAGAAGGGGGAGAGGACGAGAGAGCTAGACGATGACATTAACATTGCAACTGGGAGGTCCGCGCGGATTTCCTGGATCGGCGCTGGACACCCCTCCCCGGCGCGCGGAGCGCGCCAGGGGTGGCGCCGGAGGCGCCGCCAGAGGGGTCCAGTGCCGATCGAAGAACTCCGCGTGGACCTCCGAGTCGCTTTGTTTATGCCATCGTTTGGTTCTCTTGGCATCGCTCGGACGTGTGCATTGATCATCCAGGTTCATCGAGCCCCTCCAAACAAACACGCAGATAGCCGAAGAATGCACGGGAAATGGACGTTCGAGCGACGGCAAATACTCTACTAATCGAAGAGGAGGAGGAGGAGGAGGAGGAGGACGAGGAGGAGGAGGACGCGGAGGAGCAGGAGGAGGAGGAGGAGGAGGAGGAGGAGGAGGAGGAGGTCCGTAGCCATTTTGGCTCATGCCGCCCACCAGCGGGCGAAACCCCCATTGTTCAAGCGAGCTAGGCCATGTCCCCCCTTGCTCTCTGGCAGTGGAGTTTCTTCTGAAGTGGAAATGACGCTACGGGAGGGCGCGGAGGATGCGCGCCCAGGTTGTCCTCGCCGTTCGGCGGCGGACCGCAAAGCCAGCCGAGCTTGGGCAAAGGAGTCATCAGACAGGGCACTACGGAACGTGGTGGGCGAGCTGGGCAGGACTCGTGAGCAACTTCGTCGAGCAGACGAGGCACTCGAGATGTTGTTAGGCGATGGGCTGTTGGTGGATCGCATATTGTGTATTCTTCCTGCGATTGAGCAGCTTCTTCAGGGCCGACGGCCAAGCTGGTTGGACACTCTTCGCAGAAATGTAGCATTACACGCATATGCTCCCAATAGCAAGTTTGCAACAGCCTCGGCAGCTGATCTTCGGAAGGCTCAGCATGGGCCGCGGCTTGGAGGTCAGGTGGTGCAGTCGCTCAGCCCACATGCTAAGGAGTTTGTTCCGGCTGCGACCGCCGTCGCTGGCGGCGAAGGCCGCACAGAGACGGCCACGGGCGTGCCCCCCGCCCAAGACCCCCGCGGAGGGGGCGCTGAGGGTGCGCAGGCGACGGGCTTGGCGGTGGCGCAGCCGTTCGGGGCCGAGGACACGGAGCTGCCGCCCGATTTCGGCGAGGAGCAGGAGGCCGTGGGCACAGAGAGGCCTACGGTCACTAGCCCAAAACATACCCGGACCCGGGGTCAGCTGGGGTGAAAAGGGCCGCCCGCTAGAGCGTTTTCGGCCTTGCCGCCACCTCGTCTGGGTACGGGTCGGTGCCCGAAACAACCATACATACCCGGACCTAGCTGGGGTGGTGGTTGGGTCACCCCGTCTAGGTACGGGTATGTATGGTGGTTTCGGGAGCCGACCCGGACCCAGGGGGGGTGATGCCCCGAGGGCCCCTTGCCACCCCGTCTGGGTAAGGGTACGGGTATCTTTCGCGCTCGAGATACGGGGGGTCGCTGCCCTGCCGCTGCTGTCGCCGCCGCCGTGGTCGCTGACACGGCGGAGCGGCAGGCCGACGGTGCAGGAGGTGTTGATCCGAGCGGGACGGTCAACGTCGGTATCCAGGGCGACGTGGACTTTGTCGAGGGCGTGGAGAAGCAGCTGAGGCTCTGGGGCCAGGCGTGCCCTGGCCGAGCGACCCGTCCTTTCGTGCGGCGCCGCGCTCGGGTGGACGCGGCGAGCTTGCTCAATTTCTGGGCTGCCTATCCCGCTGGAGTGTCGCTGGGCGCTCTGGAGTCGGAGTCAGACTCCAGCGAGGATGTGGCCGCCGACGGCGTGCGCAACCAGAAGGGCCAGCTGATGACGAGGGACGAGGCCTGGGAAGAGTACCTGGCCATGGAGGCGAAAGGAGCGCGTCTTCCTGCATGGCGTCGTCCGAGGTTCAACCAGTTGGAGGCCTTCCTGGGGCTCGCCGAGGACTGATCTTCCTTGTTTTTTAGGCTGCCTTATCGCTCAGCGGTAACGGACAGCCACAGAGCCAATAGGAGCCAATAGGAGGAGGAGGAGGAGGAGGAGGAGGAGGAGGAGGAGGAGGAGGAGGAGGAGGAGGGAGAGGAGGAGGAGGAGGAGGAGGAGAGGAGGAGGGGGGGGCGGCGGGGGGGCGGCGGAGGAGGAACCGGAGCTAACCCCGCCCCCCCTCTCCCCGCGAGTCCTGCGCTGGGAAGTCTGGCCCGACGCCGGGCTCGGCGCGGTGGCCGACGCCAGGCTCGACGCGCCGCCCGAGCTCAGGGGCTCGGTGAAGGCGCCCGATCTCCTCCTCCTCCCTCCTCCTCCTCCCCCCTCCTCCTCCTCCTCCTCCTCCTCCTCCTCCTCCTGCCTCCTCCTCCTCCTCCTCGTCCTCCTCCTCCTCCTCCTCCTCCTCCTCCTCCTCCTCCTCCTCCTCCTTCCTTCCTCCTCCCTCCTCCCTCCTCCCTCCTTCCTCCCCCTCCTCCTCCTCCCCCTCCTCCTCCTCCTCCTCCTCCTCCTCCTCCTCCCTCCTCCTCCTCCCCCTCCCCCCTCCCCCCTCCCTCCTCCCTTCTCCCCTCCTCTCCTCCCGCCTCCCTCCTCCTCCTCCTCCCTCCTCCTTCTCCTCCTCGTCCTCCTCTCCTCCCCCCTTACTCTCCTCCTCCTCCTCCTCCGCCTCCTCCTCCTCCTCCTCCTCTCCTCCTCCCTCCTCCTCCTCCTCCCTTCCTCCTCCTCCTCCTCCTCCTCCTCCTCTTCCTCCTCCTCCTCCTTCCTCCCCCCCCTCCCTTCTCCTCCTCCCTCCTTCTCCTCCTCCTCCCTCCTCCTCCTCTTCCTCCTTCTCATCCTCTTCATCGTTATCCTGATCCCTCCTCCTCTTCCTCCTCCTTCTCATCATCACATTCATCATCAGCAGCATCATCAGCATCTTCATCTGCATTTTCATACTCATCGTCATCATCAGCATCATCAGCATCGCCGTCGTCAACGTCATCGTCATCATGATCCTCATCCTCATCAGAATCATCAACGTCACCATCATCATCACTATCGTCATCGTCATCGATCATCCTCCTCATCTCTTCTCATCCTCCTTCGTCGCCCCTTCCTCCTCCTAGCTCCTCCTCCTCCTCCTCCGCCTCATCCTGTTTCTCCTCCGCCGCCTCCTCGTCCCTCCTTCTCCTCCCTCGTCCTCCTCCTCCTCCTTCTCCTCGGTTCCTGTTCCTTATACATAACTTCTCCCTGTCGCATCCCGGGACCAATCTTTAAAATGGGCCGGGTGGTTTGCCTGAGAATGTCTCACCATTTATCATTCTGAAGCTTAACATTGACAACAGCTTCACAGATGAAGGGCGGGTGATTTTCAAAATGTGGCTCTCACCTTAGCGCGGCGCACACTCGTTTTTTTCCGAACTTGCAAGAGTTTCACGGATTGAGGGCGGTTTGTTTCCAACATGTGGTTCTTGCTTTAGCGCGGCGCACGTTCATTTTTGGCATTTGCAAGAGGTTCACGGATTGAGACCCGGTGGTTTTCAAATTGTGGTTCTCGTTTTTAGCGCGGCGCACATTCGTGCTACACAAGTGCAAGAGTTTCACCGATTGAGGGCGGGCGGTTTTCAACAGGTGATGTTCGCCTTAGCGCGGCGCACATTCGTCTTAAGCCATTGCACGGCTTTCGCCGATTGAGGGCGGGTGGTTTCAAAGTGTGGTTCTCGCTTTAGCGCGGCGCACATTTGTTGTTTTATATAACAACTGCAAGAGTTTCACGGATTCAGGGCTGGTGGCTTTCAAAATGTGGTTCTCGCCTTAGCGCCGTGCGCATTCGTTTACAAGCATGGCAAGTGGTTTAGGTATTCCCATCATCAACGTATCAGACAAGGTGTTCTGAACGATTTAGGCTTACGCGGGCGCAACAGTTACGTTGATACGCTGTGTGGAAGTCCCAGGAGTGGCGTTATGACACATTTCATGTTCGTCAACACGCAAAAGTCAGGTAGATCCGTGGCGTTGGAATCTCGAGAATAATGTCTTGGCATGTTTCAGGGTCTTCAAACAGTTGTCTTCCACCGAGGCAGTTTCCCCAGTGGAAATTCAAAGTTGTAGGGGTTTGTGAAGAGGGAGTTGGAAGGGAGGGTTTACACTGATCCTCCTCCTTCTGGGCTCTCGGGATATTCCAACATCGTTGACGAATCTTGGGTTTACACTGGTCCTCCTCCTCCTGCGCCCTCCTCCTCCCTCCTTCCTCCTCCTCCTCCTCCTCCTCCTCGTCCGCCACCTCCTCGCCCTCCTCCTCCTCCCGCTCCTCCTGCTCCTGCTCCTCCCGCTCCTCCTGCTCCGACTCCTCCTCCTTCCCCTCGTGCTCCTCCTCCTCATTCTCCCTCCTCCGCCCGTTCCTCCTCCTCCTCCTCCTCCTCCTCCTCCTCCTCCTCCTCCTCCTCCTCTGTCCTTCTTCTTGTCTTGTCCTCCTCCTCCTCCTTGTCCTCCTCCTTCACCACCTCCTCCTCCGCCCTCCTCCTCTCTCCTGCTTCTGCTCCTCCGTCCTCCTCCTCCACCTCCTCCGCCCTCCTCCTCCCTCCTGCTTCTGCTCCTCCCTCTTCCTCCTCCACCTCCTCCTCCTCCTCCCTCTCTCTTCTCTTTCTTCTCCTCCTCCTCCTTCTCCACCTCCTCGCCGTTATCCTCCTCCTCCTCCTCCTCCTCCTCCTCCTCCTCCTCCTCCTCCTCCTATTCCTCCTCCGACGCGGTGGCCGACGCCGGTCTCGGCGCGGTGGCCGATGCGGACTTCGGCGCCATGGCCGACGCCGGGCTCGACGCGCCGCCCGACCTCAGGGGCTCGCTGAAGGCCCCCTTCTCCTCCTCCTTCTCCTCGTCCTCCTCCTCCTCATCCTCCTCATCATCATCAGAATCATCAGCATCATCAACATCATCGATGCTCCTCCTTCCTTCTCCTCCTCATCCTCCTTCGCCTCCTCCTCCTCTTCCTAGATCCTCCTTCTCCTACCTCCTCCTCCTCCTCCTCCTCCTCCTCCCCTCCTCCTCCCTCCTCCTACGCTAATTCCTCCCTCATCCCCCCACTCCTCCTCCTCCTTCTTCTCCTCCTCCTCCTCCTCCTCCTCCTCCTCCTCCTCGTCCTTTCCTCCTCCCACTTTCTCACCCTCCTTTCCATCGTCCAACATTTTCCTCCTCGAGGGTGGAGGTAGGTTTGAGGTCTTCGGGCGCTTTGGCTGTTTTTCGGTGGTGTACCAGCCTCGGGATGCGCTCCGGCCGCCTAGCCTCGCCGAGGACGTCCCGATCGGCCGCCCGAGAGCCGAGTTATGATCCGAAGACCTTCTTCCCACGAGTGAGTGTTTTCGGGCGCAGCCCGAATGTGTTTCTGTCTCGACCGCCACCCGCTACGCGACGGTTCTAGTCTCGGCCGCCAAGGGCGTAATGAATGGCGCCAGCGATAGGAGACGGTTTGATTCTTTTGCACAGTTGTGCTCTAGAGCTCGGACATCTTTCTTGTCGTCGTGGTTCGTGGTTCGTCCCCCTCGGCCCCCCCCCCTGAGGCTGAGCCCCAGCTCCCCTGGGTCCCCCTCGGCCCCCCCCCCTGAGGCTGAGCCCCAGCTCCCCTGGGCCACCCCCCCCCTTGGGACCCCCCTCCGTCCAGGCTTCCCAGAGCAGCCCCCCTGGGCCGCGGAACATTTTATGTTCGTCGTGGCTCGTTGTGGCTCGTCCCCCTCCCCCCCCTGAGCCTGAGCCCCAGCTCCCCTGAGCCACCCACCCTTGGGAGCCTTCCTCCGTCCAGGCTTCCCAGCTCCCCTGGGCCACCCCGTGGGACCCCCCCTCCGTCCAGGCTTCCCAGAGCAGCCCCCCTGGGCCGCGGAACCCTTTCTTTTCGTGAGCCTGAGCCCCAGCACCCCTGGGCCACCCCCCCTTCGGACCCCCCTCCGCCCAGGCTTCCCAGGGCAGCCTCCCTGGGCCGCGGTTCCCTTTATTTTCGTCGTGTGGTGGTTCGTCCCCCTCGGCCCCCTCCCTGAGCCTGAGCCCCAGCTCCCCTGAGCCACCCACCCTTGGGAGCCTTCCTCCGTCCAGGCTTCCCAGCTCCTCTGGGCCACCCCTCCTTGGCACCCCCCTCCGTCCAGGCTTCCCAGGGCAGCCCCCCTGGGCCGCGGAACCCTTTCTTTTCGTCGTGGTTCGTCGTGGTTCGTCCCCCTCGGCCCCTCCCCTGAGCCTGAGCCCCAGCTCCCCTGGGCCACCCCCCTTGGGACCCCCCCTCCGTCCAGGCTTCCCAGGGCAGCCCCCCTGGGCCGCGGAACCCTTTATTTTCGTCGTGGGGCCAGCCCCCCTTGGGACCCCCCCTCCGTCCAGGCTTCCCAAGGCAGCCCCCCTGGGCCGCGGAACAGTTTCGTTCGTGGTTCGTGTGGTTCCGTCCCCCTCGATCCCCCTGAGCTGAGCCCAGTCCCTGGGCCACCCCCCTTGGGTTCTCTTGCGCAGCTGCTGCTCTAGAGCTTGGACATTTTTATTCATCGTGTTCGTGGCGGTGTCCCCTCGGCCCATCCCCGGAGCCTGAGCCCCCAGCTCCCTGGGCCACTCCACCTTGGGACCCCCCCCTCCGTCCAGGCTTCCCAGGGCAGCCCCCCTGGGCCGCGGAACCCTTTATCGTCGTGGCTCGGATGGTTCGCCCCCCTCGCCCCCCCCCCTGAGCCTGAGCCCCACCCCTCCCCTAAGGCTGAGCCCCAGCTCCCCTGAGCCACCCACCCTTGGGACCCGCCCTCCGTCCAGGCCTCCCACGGCAGCACCCCTGGGCCGGACATCTTCATTTTCGTCGTGGTTCGTGGTTCGTGGTGGTTCGTCCCCCTCGGCCCCCTCCCTGAGCCTGAGCCCCAGCTCCCCTGGGCCACCCACCCTTCGGAGGCTTGCTCTGTCCAGGCTTCCCAGGACAGCCCCCCTGGGCCGCGGACATCCTTATTTTCGTCGTGGTTCGTGGTTCGTCGTGGTTCGTCCCCCTCGGTCCCTTCCCTGAGCCTGAGCCCCAGCTCCCCTGGGCCACCCCCCCTTGGGACCCGCCCTCCGT